TGATTTTGGATATTTCTTTCTTCAAACTGAAGATCAGGGGGAGTTGGCTTGGGATACCAGTTTTTTGTAAGAGAAGTAGGGTTGACAGGACGAGTATGAATGCGTTTCAAATCAAAAGTTGGCTGAAGATCAATGTTTTGAAAAGCATTTTCAATATTTTGGATAGCAGAACTAGTTTCCGTGTCCTGAGAAGAATCTGGGCTAGATGTGTTTTCTTCTTCAACAGAAACATCATTGTTTTGCAAAACATTGACAACTTTCTCTTTTTTGAGCTCAGTGAGCATATGATCAATTTTTTGTAAAGTAATCATAGATTTTAAAGCAGTAGAGCTTGAAGAAGTATTAGTAAAATTTACTAAAGGTTTTTCTTTTGGAGAAGAAATTGGTTGAGACAAATTGTCGATTTTGGTTTCAATTTTGTCTAACTGTTTTCCAATAGTGTGAAGACTTTGGTTTGTAAAATTATTCTGCTCAATGACAGGTTTAAAACCAGAATCTTCTTTTGGAATTTTGAAAGGGGTTGCGGGAATGTTGGTATTACCAGTAGAAATTAAAATAGTTTCTTTGGGAGGATGGCTAGAGGAAACCAAAGTTTTGTCTTCCTTAACCCAATTTTCTTTGGTAACAACCGTAACTTTGTTTTTGGTTTCATAATGGTTGTCAATAAAATCAAAGAAAGATATTTCAAATTAGTATTGTTCTACAAAAGCTTTCCACTCGGCATAAATGGCTAGCTTTTCATCATCACAATACTTTTTTCTAAAAATATTTCTTCTGGGGATGTTTTCCTCAGAAGCGATGTCAGCTTTAATCTTCCTCCATCGGATTTTATGTGGTTTGTTTAAAACAAGTAATTGGTGATTCACCGATGTTGTTTCAAAATCAGAAGCAGTTGGAGAAGTGGGTTCTTCTTGGTTTGGAGGATGATAAACAGGATGTGCAACTTGTGAGGAAGTGTCGACAGACTTTAATTTGAGCAAATCGTTGATTAAATCTTGTTGTGCAGTTTTCTGCTCTTTTAACTTTTTGTTTACTAAAGATTTGATCAAATCTTGATCTCGACCCAGTCTATCGGTTGACGTGGATCCAGAAAAAGACTGTCTGCTAGGAGCAAAAGATTTGTGTGAATGTACTGATTCGCAAGATTGCCTTGCTGGTCGATCAAAATTGATTTTCACAGTGCCGTCAAAATATTGTTCAATGTTGTCAAGATTAACAAGACTGTTTTGGACGGAAACCGGTTTACTTTCGTTGATTAAACACCAATCTGAAGGGAGACTGATGTCTGATCACCTAATGGTTCTTGGTACTCTTATGTTTGCGCCTTCTTGGGTTGTTTGGATCAAAAGAGTGTGGTCACGAGGACTTTTGTTCAAAGCTTGAAAATTCATGTTTGTGCCAGTGACTTTGTAATAAATTCTAAAAATAAGTGCCAAAGGTTGTGTTCCTTCCAGGACTTGGTACCCGGAGGTTTTACTATTGAGAGTAAGGGCTTTTAAAACATGTGGGTCTGAAAGACTTATTGTGAGATCTGGAAAACAATCAAAATGGATAGGTCCGTTGTAAAGACTAGATTCGATCATTCCGAGGATACTATCGTTGAAATCAGTAAATCTAGCGTCGCGTAGACATAAAAGGATAGAAGTGTTAAGTCCTTTTCGTGTTAATGGTTTAACTGCGATTTGAACTAAACCAATATGAAGATAGTTATGACCATTTTTGCGATGCGCTTTGATTTGTTCCGGAGAAAATAATTGACAAGTCTCATGTTCTTTGTTAAGAGCATAAGCCTTCTCAACTGTTTTGACGTGATGTTCGGATTTAAAAGAGGTCAAAGACCATTTTTTCTTGTAAATATTTTGGGTTGAAACTTTTGGAAGATTCCAGTCAGAAAAATCAATACTTTCATCTGTTTGAAAATCAAGTTTTTGTTCCTCATTGACAATGTCAGGTATAGTTCCTCAGTTGGATCTAGAGCTAGTGCTGGCTATTGAATTAGATCTAAATAATCTACTCATGATGCACACAAAAACAAATATGCTATATGTAAGACTTAAAAGATTCACCTTCCTCGTATGTCTAGACTCTTCCCCCGCTCATGCGCTCCGCTCATGCCTCTCCTGGGACTTATTGTTTGGACCACGTCTTACTGTTTGGCTGGAAGAAAGAAGAACTGAGGACCGACGATTAAGAAATGCAGATAAAATATAAGAATGTATGAATCAGAAATAGATCAGAAGTTATCTTTAACTAAATACCAAAAAGCGGGACTTGTTCATATATATATATATATATATATATTACGAAATAACGATATTCTTCAAAACTAAAAAAAATTCGACACAATACATATAAAACACGTAAATATGACTCTAAAAACAACAGTTGAAAAGAGATAAATTAAAGCGCATAAAATTCTTACAAACTAACAAACTGTACATAGCCCAAACAACTCAAACCCTCTGTTAGACCACAACCTTAAATCTTGGGTTGTTGGCTATTGTTACTTGATTGGATTCCATGTTCTCTTGAAGTGTGTGAGATCCTTTTTTTTTATTTTTTATTTTTTGCTGAAGTTAGGGGTGTAAATGAGCGACGTCAAAGTTAAATACCGAGCGATTCAAGTTTGGCTCCCTTTTAGTACTCAAGCACAATAAAACCGTATTGCTCAAGCTCAACTCAAATGATTTTTTTCAAGCTCGAGTTCGACTAGTCTCTACTCGGCTTGTGTGTATAACAAACTTTAGCCTTGGGATGGCTTGGCTCAACTTGTTCCTTAATGAGCTCGAGCTTATGCCACCTTTATGAAAATTGAAAATAAATAAATAAAATAAAAATAATAGATGTATTTGCACACATATCTTTTATATGTCGTTTATCCTATTTTTTGGTTGTTGCCAAAAGACCAAACAAAAACATTTCAAATTGATGAATGATACATGACAATTCTTTATACAAAAAACTGTGACAAGTCATACATGAAACTTTAAGGAAAAAAAAAAACAAAGAAAAAAGAAGATATTATTAGTTTTACATCAAACAATATGCATGTGTAAACTGAAATTCGATTGAAAGGTAGCATGAGTATCACTAGAAGCCTAACAGTTGAGTTTTATTTATTTATTTATTTTTATGTATTTTGTTTTGTTGAAGAAAATATATAGCATTTGAATTCGATTTTCCTCCCTTAGTCTTTTTCTCTTCTTCTCCTTTCAATATTTGTGCGATTTTCTTACATTCGTCGGAATTTGTTTAATGTTCTTCGATTTATTCGTATAAATTCACATGTTTTTCATAGACTCAAAGTGGAACATTTGCATAATCTATTCCCTCCAATGCAGATGATGTCTCAGCCTTTTAATATGACCAAGGGAAGATATGGTTCTGTTTTTTACGTACTTTTCAGCATTGTTGGATTAGTCATAGTGGTTTGGAAGTCCTTTTTGGAAGGCTGCTCTAGTTATTGAGTCGTTGCATCTGACTATCCTTGCCTTCTCTGCTTTGAACCTCTTCACATAGTAACGAAGCGACTCTTTTGGGTTCTTCTTGACATTGAACAAATGGTCGGACTTCTTTTTGATCGAGCAATAGGATGAATATTCTTTGGTAAAAACCAAAGAAAGTTCGTCGAAACTTCGAATAGATTGCGGTGGTAGGGTGTAGAACCAATCTTGTGCCTTGCCTTGTAGAGTGGTGGCAAATATATTGCACATGAGATCGTCATTGTTTCGATAGAGGATCATTGCGCTTCGGTAGTGCTTTAAGTGTCTCTTCGGGTCTTCATCCCCTTTGCAAGATGTGAAATGTGGCATCCTGAACTCGCGTGGAGGCTCTGCCTACTCGATCTTGTCCGTGAAGGGTGACCTACTTATGTTGGTCATGTTCCGTTGTAATGCCTTGTCGGTGACCTCGTTGTGTTGGAAATCACACAATTGCTTGGTCAAGAGTCTCTCTACTTCTTCCTGAATTTGCCTTTGTTGGGATAGCAGAGCTCTCGGCTGCCCCCAGTTATGACTTGCTGTTCTAGGTTACTCTTCCATATGTTTGGCTCGTCTATGCCGCAGATACAGTGAGTGTAGTGCGTTCCTAGCAAGCGAGCAAGTTCTTCACAGGCTGGCGGTTGAACTTGAGCCAAATTGAGTGAGTGCTTCTCTCTGTCCGTCGTGCTACCTACTCCGATGTAAGGTAGATGATGCTCCTTGTAGGCTTAGCCGAGAATAAACACTTCGCTTGGAAGGTTGCTCATGTTAACTATCGGAGTGTGACCCCAACCGTGAATATATGTTCGTCCGTGGGCCTATCCTAGAGTGTATGCTCCTCGACAAGCTAAGACGGGAGTATACACTATCTCGGGGGCCCAATCGGGAGTGTACATTGCCCAAACACTCGATTCGTGGCTGGTCGAGTGGCTGCTTGCTAGGACGTTGCAAGAGGGGTTCTTTGTCTGCCATTGTCCTACTTCGGGACACCTCGTTTGAGGCACGTTGCATCTCAGTGTGCTGCAAGAACTGGTTCACCAAGGTTGTTTACTATGCGAGGGCACTCGTCAACTTTATGACTTGTCGAGACAAGTGTTGTTCTCCATTTGGGTTGGAATAGCTTGGAAGAAATGCGTCTTCTTAAGCTGTGGAAGTGTGGTAGACTTTGGACGCGAGATTTGAGTTAGGAAATGTCAAATCCGCAAAAGAATGTTGTGAAAATGCTCCCAGTTCGATCGTTGGTCCGAAAATTTAAAGCTGGGACGATTGAACTAATCTTGGATCGATTTGGGCTGCTTGGAAGGCCACAGGAGCAGACTGGGCCACGGGAACAGGTTGGGGCACGAGAGCAAGCTGCTCGGTGGAAGCAGGCTGGGCCACGATAGCAGGTTGCTTAGCGTGTGGCGCATGTGGGTACGAGGCTAAGGCTCGGCTTGGCAACGCGTTGGGCTTGGAGTGACATGACTTGGGCCGTGGTTTTGGTGCCGTGGGCCTTGGATGACACAGCATGGGCTTGCTTAGATGGCACAACTTGGCCGTGGTGGTAGTGCCATGGACCTCGCCGCGGGTGGTGGTTGTGGTGGCCACCACGATGGTTGCCATGGTGGAGCCCTGTAGCAGTGGTGCCACTCCACTTATGATCACATTTAGCCTCATGGATCGTCACGGTCCCATTTCTTGAATATTAGAATTTTCACTTGTGGAATTTTCTAAATTTCTAGCCATTGTATTTCTCTTTTACGTTTTATCAAAGAATCTTTACAAATAAAAAATTCTAATAATAAGAACGTACGAAAAATATACAAATGGACAAGAAAAAATAGAGAAAAACCTTTTATGTGAGAGTCTTCTACGAGTGTGTGTACTTTAACTCTCAATGAAAGCACCAATTTGTGGATGCAAATTTCCACCTCCTTCTTCTTGGACAAAAGTGCACCTACAAAACAATTAACACCTTAGATTCAAGGCCAATAGCCTCACATGCCCACGATGAATGGGGGGGCTTTGGCCGAATAACCTCCAATGCCAAAGTTAGAATTTAGAGAGAAAAGTGTTTAGAGAGTTTTTGGAGTTTTGCAAGAGTGTGGACTTAGGTTTTTAGAGAAAAATGGGTAATATTTATAGGGCATGGCCGGTCCCTTTTGAAGAAAAGGTGGCCGGCCTTTGGGATGCTTTTTGTGTGCATTTTATGGTTTAATGTGTGAGTTATTTCGCAATTAATGGATTAATTAGGTAATTAATCCATTAATTAGCCAGTTAACACATTTTTGGAATGAATATTTTGGAGGTTATGAAATAATTACCTTGTGGAAAATATAGGATGAGGATGGATGAAATAACTTTGAATTTGTTACCTATTTTGGGCACTTTTGACTTGATTGTGGAATATTTGTCCATTGCTCGAACGTAGGAATTCCGGTGCTCCTCAAAGGTAATTTTGTCCTTTTTGCCCAAAAACCTACTTGTCGCCTCTTGATTAGTTTTAGCTCCATAGAAGGGGCCAATAATCTTCATGAACATTAAGCTTTTCTTTTTGCTTTTGGTTTGTAACTTAATTTATTTAGAAACTTTGGCATGTAACTAATTTTTTTGCTTTTGGGTTTGTTACTTAACTTACTTTATTTTTGTTTCATGCATGTGGAATGTTGAATTTAAATAGTTTGATAGTAGAATATATTTGAAGAACAATTTATAATTTCATATTTCAATTAGGGCTATACATCTATGATTGCACATATCAGTATCTATGAATTAAAGGCTCAAAATATATTGCATTTATGGTTCAAAATAAATTGTACAAACGCACATATGACATATTTGTATGTATGACTGATTGGTATTTATGAAATTGGGCTAACAATTTCAATCTAAAAGGCTAAATTTTAGCCTAAAAGCCCAATATATCAAGTTTCAGCACAATAGCCCAAAATCAAATTTTAATCTTGATTTGTCCTGAAATACCGAAAATATTTCAGGATTCCTAAAATTTGGGATTCCCGAAATTTTGGCTTGGGACTGGTCTTCAAATTTCCATCTTGAAAAAATTTTGGTTTGGGATTCGGGATACTAGTTTCGGTTCGGTATCCCATACCAAACTAGCCCTAGTCCCAAATAACAAAGCCCTAATTTCCACTCAGAAAAAAACCATCAAATCAACAAAGCATGATACGTTTTTCAGTGTACTCGAAATGTTAAGTCGTATATGACGTGCCATAATATAAATGAAGAGACACTAAAAATATACTTTAAAATGAAACATATCAATCATATCATCTATTAATATTATGACATGTAGTGTTACCACTTTTTATTTCGGATGTATTGAAAATCTCTCCAAATAATTTGGTATTTCCGCATCTTCCAATGTTTATCTTTTCTGGTTGATACGCATGCATTTATCATGTGTTCTTAAGTTTTCAGTGTTTTTTCATGAGTCATCTTTGTTTTAGTTGTTTTATATTTGTTTATCCTAATTAGTTAGCGTAAAGAAATTATATACTGAGGCAAGTTGTGTTCTTGTTTTGGTGGGAAACATATTAAATGTTATGAGATTAAGATTGAGATTTTTATTGATAAACATTGGAACACTTCCAATATCAAATAATAAATATTTTTAGTATCGATCGTGCGTCATCACTTTGGCCACCATTGAAACTCACTTTGGGACGACTCCAGATTCCTCTTCGTCCTCCTAATTATGGTCACATACATTTTTCCTCGCCTCGTAAAACAACCCTAATAGCCATTTCAACACAAAGTGTGGGACTAATTGTATGGGGGTGCACTTTTCCACACTTTTTAATTATGGTCTTTCATTCTCCTTCGATTTGTTCAAATCAAAACTAAACAAATTTACGCAATAGGTTAAAAAAGTGTGTATAAATTATTTCTCATTTAACTGTTGAGGTGCTAAATATATTCGGACTTCTCAAGCATATTGTTTTCACAATATGATTGCAAACTTATGTGTGTATATATATGAGACAGCATTTTGTAAACTGCGTGCAAATTGTATTATCTTTATAATAGAAGTAAGACTTTGTTTTATACACATGATTAACATTGCGCATGTCACCACATAAAACTACGGCTAATGTACTTCAGTAGTTGGAGTGTTTAAATTTTCCACCCACTGATTATTGTCTTCATTATTCTCCCAGAAAAGATTAAGATGGAGTTGAAGCAATTGAAACTGCGGATAAGGAATTAGGATATTAATATCGAATTATAGTCTAATGCAACTTTGGTCGATATCCACTAAAATTTTCGTCAGACAATTAGTTACCTTCTTCCAAGTACTAATATTCATCAAGTCGCTAAATACCTGCTTATAAATAGAGATTAGAGACATACAGGTTGGAGGCAACCTAATTAAGCCAAGTGCGATGAAAAGTGTTCGTTTCTTCATAACCACTGTAGCCACATTGGCATTTCGCAACCTTCCTTGTCTCTGCCTACGATCCCAGTCCTCTGCAGGACATTTGCATAGCAATTAATAACCCCCAATCTGATGTGTGTGTGTGTGTGTGTGTGTGTGTGTGTATATATATATTTTTTTTTTTGCATATCATATACAATGTTTTCTCCACATTTATGTAATATTATTTACTCATAATGTTGTAAAAATTCTTAAGAATTTAAGTTTTTTTTTCTATTAATCATATGTTTTTGCATGGCATATTTATATGCATGCATGAAAAATTGATGTGCATGCATATACATATACATATATATATATGTATAGACATGTCAAACTAAAATATACATACGTATAAAAAATTCATGTTATTCGTATCATATTATATCATCATTTTACTGGTCACATCTCTCATAAAGGTGTGTTGTCATAATGAAAATTTTCTCTTATAAAAGCAAATTACACATATATAAGAGAGCTAGTCTCTAAAGTGGGTAGTTAATGACTTAATGTGGTCCAAATAACAATAACACGATATGGTTTTAACTTTCCGTGTATTTGTACATTGACTGGTTAACTGATGTTTACAACTAATGCTAAAAACATAAATACTTTCATTTCTTTTTAGGCAAGCAGTGTTTGTGAATGGAAAATTCTGCAAGGACCCAAAGCTTGTCACAGCAAACGACTTTTTCTTTCCTGGGCTCCAAATCCCGAAAAGCACGGCGAATCCAGTTGGTTCGACAGTGACAGCGGTGAATGTGGAGAACCTAGCAGGACTGAACACTCTCGGCATATCCCTGGCTCGCATAGACTTTGCACCAAATGGCCTAAACCCCCCTTACACTCACCCTCGTGGCTCCGAAATTCTCATAGTCTTGGAAGGTACACTCTATGTTGGCTTCGTCACGTCAAACGCCGATAATAATCGGCTAATCAGCAAGGTGTTGAATAAGGGAGATGTGTTTGTGTTCCCGATTGGTCTCATTCACTTCCAACTCAATGCCGGAAACGGAAATGCAGAAGCCATTGCTGGGCTTAGCAGCCAGAACCCAGGAGTCATCACCATAGCAAATGCTGTGTTTGGCTCCAAGCCTCCCATCAATCCTGATGTTCTAGCCAAGGCCTTCCAAGTGGATAATGAGCTGGTTGATTATCTTCAGAAACAGTTTTGTTACGAGAACAATTGATAACGAAGAGGTATATGTGAAAATTAAGGAGAAAAGGCCAATTAGGACGGTCCATATGTGCCTGGTCGGATGTACTAATTAAGTTGGCCAATATGGTTTTCATCAGTACGCACAAACTATGAAATATAAATTGAATAAGATGCTTATTGCTTATGTATACCTCATCCTTATGTGAATTTGATATGATACAATATTATATATGGTATGTCTTGATGTGCTCTCTGTTTCTTAAATGTCTTTAAGGTTGACAAGTTTAAGAAATTCTACCCAAGGATACCTCATATTTCAATGATCGGAACAAATTTATATTGGGATAATATTTGTATTCTCTATTGTGGGGACAAGTTCATTTCTTTACTTGCAAATTAATAATATATTTTCACGGCATAAATTTTAGAGTTCTTTAAAAATAGACTTTTGAAAGTTTTATTTCCTAAACAAAAACCCACCTATATTTAAATATCCAATTAAACCCCAAAATTCAAATTCATGCATGTGGAAAAAGAAATAGCCTATTATTACAAACTACCTATGCCACAAAACCCCAATTATGTCAATAAACTTTATTAATACCTACAATAACGATGAAATCCTAATTTTATCTAGTTTCTTTTCTTTTTTTGACAAGCATTTAATATTCATCACGTACGTGCATCATACTTTACAGTTTATAGTTAAATGCTTGTTGAAATTTCAGTTTTATAGGCTACAATTGGAATAATATACATATTTATTCTCTGTTTTATTTATATATTAATTTCCTTATGATTTTCGAAAAAATATTTTACCTATATTTTTTTTTTAACCAAATGACCTATGACATCCTTTATCTTGAATCAAATGACATTCTTTATCTTCAAGTGGGTAGTTTAGTCTACATAAAATAATTTACCTATATCTATGTGAAATATAGGTAAGTTTCATCTTAAACTTTATTTTCAAGTAGGTACTTTAATATACACAAAATAATTTACCTATATATTGTATGTATATGAAATATAGGCAAGTTAAACGTTGAAGCAAATTACATTGTTTATGTTGTAGGTAAATTGTTTTGCATGTATTATTACTTACACTAGACACATTTTATTGTTGTTATATATGTGTGGTAAAATATTTTGTTCGTAGCTAAAGCTCGCATATTTGAAAAGAGAAAAACTAAATAAAAAAAAAAAGAAATTTTGAAATAGTTCCAATTTTATAGACTACATTTTGAAATAAGTCCAATTTTTAGTGACTTTTGACTTTTGAAATAGGTCCAATTTTTAGTTACTTTGGACCCATTTCAAAAAACCCCTAAAAAAAATTCCCAACTTTATGCAAATACGAAAGCATCAAAGCAATAAGGAATTAAAAAGGAAAACACTAAACAAATTAAAACCTAGTATCATATCATTTATTATTAATAGGCAATGAATTATGACATTAAATCCTCTTTTTAATCCGACATAAGTTATTAGAGGTATTCTAGGCATCCAAAAATATGAAATTGTGTGAAGTCAAACTTAATTAAGAAAATTATTGACTTGGAGCTAGTTTTTATTAGAAAAATATATTATGACGGGTTTTAGTTAAAAAGAATTGAATTTCAAGGGGTAAAGTCATATTTTAAGTAAATTTTATAATCGAAACCATGCAACCACGTACTAATTCCGTGTCCCCATCAAAGTTTATCAAAGGTAAGCGAACTGCTTTATCATTCTGCAGCCCAAATCCGGTTACGAGTTTCTCTAATTTCAGATTACTGAATATATAATATTTTTTCCTATTGCAAATTCAGAATTTATCTCAACTCCAGGGGCTAAGCTTGATATGAAGAAGGTGCAAATTGCCTTGGGTATTTCAACTAAGTATTGTGAATGCCGCTGACTGCTCAATCCTCTACAGAGAGGAAGGTGGACTTCCGCCTAGAGCTACGATCCCTGTAGTTAAGCCTGCTTTCAGCAAATTTGGAAAGAAGAAAGCAGCTAGCCTAGACTTGCCAACAAGTTTGGGTGAGCGTTCTCTACTCGTGGAACTTGCTTAAGGGTGTAAGTGTGGAACGCGCACTTTGAGTAGCTCCCGGACTTATGCGAGTATTGCATCATCCTTGGATGCTTCGTCACATACTCCCATGAGGCTTGGTTGGTGATTAGATGAGAATCTAAATGAATTGCAAACTTCTTCATAACTAAATCTTTTGTCAGTCAAAGGCTTACTGGTAAAGCCTCGTACATTGCGGGAGCTCCTGTAAGATTTGAATCAAGATGTCAATGAAAGTACCAATTTGTTGTAGCAAATTTCCGCTGTCTTTGAATTTGACGAAATTGTACCTACGCAACAAAGAGATACCTTAGGTCAATGACCAAAGGCATGAGCCAAGAGTGGGATTTGGCCAATGAACATTCGATGCGTAAGTCAGAAACTCTGTAGAAAGAGTGCAAGTGATTTAGTGTTGAATTGTGCAGAATCAACTTACTTAACGACTATGTAGAATGAGGTATTTATAAAGCATAGAGCCGACCACATGTGTAGAGTTTCCATGCCATGTGTTGGCTTCGATTTGTCGAAGTGTGTCGTCTGTTTGATGAAGTAAGAAAGTATCTTTAAAATGTTGAAATATCTTAAAATGCTTGAGAATAAGCCTTAGAGATATTATTAAATAAATAATAATAATAATATCTAAGAATTATTTTGGAAAATCCTTGATTGGAATTAGTTGTGTTTCCTTGAGCTAAAGGGTATAGATTAGTTATTAATTCTACCTTTAATTTTCTTGCCTTATCTTATTGCCATGGGCAGCGAAGCTTGAAGAAATTGTAGTCATCAGCTCAAGGTTCCTTGCTGGTTGAATTGCGTGTGAATAGATGTGGTCTCGCCAATATAATGAGAGCATTCTCATCAATAATGAATAAAATTCACGTATCAGCTCAAATATTTTTTGAATTATTTTTTACTCCACCCTTTTATTCTTGCGTTTTAAGTAAAATACGTCTGAATCTCAATACTTTCCCATTCTTCCGTTCTAAAATGTATTTATTTTGTTTCCCACATGATTAATGAATCAGAGAGGGACAGGGAGACGGAAAGGGACTTCCAAGTCTTCAATCATATCTCATATACACTTAAACTACATGCATATGGACCATTTGACATTGGATCGATCTAAGTGTTATTCAATGCATTTATCATGTGTGTTTCATCACTATTGGTTCCTTTGAATTCAATGATGTATGCCATGAAACATGACCTCCAAGATTTCATAAAAAAACAAAACAAAAAACAATATAAATACTCCCTCTCCTTATGTCGAGCATTTTTTTCTCTATATTCTACTTTCGGCACTTAGATTTGTTGAGGACTTTGGAGGCAAGTTTGGGAGACTAACTTGTTTTGTTTATATCGCTAATGATGTGAGCTAAATATTTTATTTTTTATTTTTTGAGTACATCAATATTTTTACATTAAGGGGAGAGGAAGTTCGGCTAAGCCACACAATGAGCAGTCCAATTTAGTATCGAATTCATCATCTACGAGATTCGAATCTAAAACCTATCACTTACAAAATTAAAAAAAAAAATCATACTTTTAAGTCTTAAATGAATAGAAGGGTCAAAGGCTTACGGATTTTGATATAAAAAACAAAATAAATAACACAAAATTAAAGGTGAGAACTGAGAAGGGTCGAGTGACCATCCTATGCCTTTATTGGCTGTGGTTAGCTAGCCAGCCAGCTTGCATGTGCGCCTGCGTGTAAGAGTGGAAAGTATAGCTGTAGGATTCTCTTTATGTGACACTAGTCACTATTATATACATACAAAGAAGTAGAAATGCATTCGTGAGTTTTAAGATTAAAAATTTCTGAGACGGCTAATTATGCTTTTTATCTTACCAGCTAGTCACCCTGCATAATGACTAGTTAACAAAGGAAAAGGAAACAAGAATTTAAGGAACATTCAAAGCTGGATGGCGCCACTTGTCACATGGGAATATACAGTTTACACTATTTAACGAGTTCATCGAAACAATGCTAAAGAGATGGTATTGGACGGCAGCTCCGAGTTGAGAGCTCCTGGTTGTTTTTTACTATATTGTCACGAATCACGATTTAAATATGGTCCATATATATTATTCTTGTCCAATTAATTAATATCCGTGTCTCAGAGAATAATTAAAACATGTCGATTAAAAAGTTTAGTGTTAACCCCAAAAAGTAAAAGAAAGAAAGAAAAAAAAAGGAGCTAGTCTCGGTGTATAAATAGAAGCTCCATCCCTCGCTGCAAATATGTGCCTGCGTTTGTATTTGTTACTTGTGCATGTGTGAAGCAATTTGATCTCCTTAATTAAGATCCATTCCTAGCTTTAGAAAATATTCTCGAAAACGTACGTACGGTTTGGTTAATGAGTGTGTGTGTGTTTTCGTTTGGGTAGAATAATCATGTTCTGATTATTTCGGCTTTATATTTCAAGAGATTAATATGAATATCTACGTTTCTACTCATACTATATTATCATATTACAGTTTTGTTTTTATGAACTGGATGCACTTCTGCATTTCAAACAGGAACAACTCAAATATACAACTATATATATTATTTTTCCGGTTAATGCTTAGAGAAACAACTGAAATATACAACTATATATATATATATATATATTCAATATTTCCTTGCCAATTTTGTGTTGTCTCACTTCGCACAATGCCTTTTTTTTTTTTTTTTTTTTTTTTAAAGAAGAGATACATGCACATGCATTTTCTCTTCCTACACATCCTTTATCATTTGGCCTTTCAGTTGAATAAATTAAAAGAAGATAAAAAATAAAATAAAAACAGAAATAAATATGGGTGAGAACTGCGAAGATGGAAAAAAAATTGTTTGCCTAGTCTTGTTTTGTTTTGATTTTTGTTCGGGGTTAATTTTTGGAAGAAAAAAAATTGGTTTCTTTTCCACCGGTTAGCAGTTTGGCACTCTCTCATTTTCTTATTTACAGATTTTTTTTTTGGTGCCCTCGAGATTAAGGAGAAACACATATAATACATTTCCATGTAAACTAATAAGGTCGTGATTTTTGAATTTGCAGGAACGAAAGTAGACAAAATGGCAAGCCAATTAGCTATTCAACGCCTGAAAAATCTCCTCAGGTTTGCCTAGCTACTTGGTGA